CTTGGAATAAGATTTTGAAATCACTATCATAAAAAATAAAACCTATATTTGCATATAAAATAAATTTAATCAAATTAAATCTAATATTCTGCAGCAATAATAAAGAAAATTAAGTTATATTAAAAGTTATTTTATAAAGCATATGGCCTCTTTTGTATAATTTTATCCCCTTAATTTTTATTTTTTCTATTAAAGCATGTGTTCTGGTTACCTAATGCTCCTCTGACAGGAATATATCACAAATGGGATGGCCTTAAAAAACAGGAGTTAATTCTCACAGTTTGGAGGCTTTAAGTCTAAGTTCAAAGTGCCAGGCTCTCGGGGCTGGATGAAAGCTCCTCAGCCTTGGGCTTCAGCTCTGCCTTCAGCTCCTGGCCCACTGAAGCTAGAGGTTTTTCTTCACTCACACAGCTACTGGCTGCTGAGGCTGCCAAGCCCAAGGTTGACAAATAAAAGGACACAGTCCCGATGTTATCAAATCACACGGCAGGCCATTAATTCAAGTCCATTGTAAGTCCCAAGGTCGGCAGAACATGGCAGGCTGCTGAACAACGACATGGCTACATGCAGGGTTCAAAGTGCCATAAGCTAGAAACCATTCCTAAAGCTGCTTCTTACATATGGGAAGCAGACCATATACCCAAAGCAGCTACTCAGCTGCTTGTGGTAGATCCCACCATGGAGCTGATTCCAGTCTCAGCATGGAGAATAACTACCACCAGCTGTCAGCCACTCAACAAGGCTCAGCCAAGTTGACACACAAACATAACCACCACAACATGCCAAATGTTTTATACTGAAAGTACATAATTTATAAACAAATATATATATTTATGAAAATAAATATACATATCTCTGAAGGCATGCTTTTTTTTTTTTTTTTTTTTTTTTACCAATATGATATGCGATAAAGATAAATGGAAGACTTCTATTATGGAAATGAAATCAAACCCATAATTTTTTAAGGCATAGTGATCTTAATATTTGAGGATTCATTCTTTTTCTCAGCATTCATTTCCTTTATAAGTAATTTTCCTCAAGCTCAATATCACTAATACTCTATAAATAATTGCTTATAAGACATACATTTCCAAATTCCTGACAATTTTATTTATTTCACTTTGACTTTAACAAGATTTGCACAAACCAATTTAAAGTATGGGACAAACTAAGCACACTTACTGAAATATAATATAATATGGTTTTACTGCTGTATAAAATTTTAATTACTGCTTCTCTGATCTCATATCACACTACATGATCATAATAAACTTACAGATCTCTAACACCTAAAAATATTTTACATGATATTTTATCAGGTTCAATCCATTAAATACTTCTATAATTAACATTCTGAATCGAGCCTTAAAATTTTTATATTGATGCCCATCATATGCTGAATTTTAAAATTTATTATTGAATATCTTGACCTCATTCTTATCTCTTGTATTTCACTAATTCATTTATTTATTCATTTATACCTTGCTATACACATTTGTGGGAGCTCTGATAGCATAGTGCCTAAGGCACTTACTTGAGAAGGTTGGGCAATCCTACTTCCATAGTGATACTGCCTCGAAAACCCAAGGAGGGGTTGCTATGAGTCAGGGCCGACTCGACGGCATATAAACAACAACAACAACATACACATTTATAGGAGCTCTGTTAGCATAGTGCCCAAGGCACTTGACTGCTAACCAGAAGGCTGGCAGTTCAAACCCACCAGCCACTACTCAGAAGGAAGATTGGGCAATCTACTTCCATAGGGATACTGCCTCAGAAACCCAAGGAGGGGTCACTATAAGTCGGGTCCGACTTGATGGCACATAACAACAACAACATACACATTGATGCCTTACTACTCACTGAATATAGAATACTCCTTGGAAGCAAGAATG